TGGAAGGAACTCAAACTCACATGTATGTAGGAACACAGAGATGTCTCCAGAAGGACATTTAGACAGTACAGTCCAAATCTACACGAAGGAAAAAAATCTCCATAAAGCATAATCATACACAAAGAGGTTTCCAAGCTCACGTTGAAAACAAGAGCAGTTTAGCTTCTCATTAGTCACTCAAGAACCAGACTTGGCCTTATCTTCTTGTAGCCAATATCCAATCGTTTAACACGTATTTATGTGCATACTACGTGCCAGGCACTGTGTTAGGTGCTAGAGAAACAATGGACAGCAAAAACAGAGCCCTTACTCTCACAATGCTTAAAGTCCAGAAGGGAAACAGACATTTAAGCAAGACATCATACTCGTGTCTCATTATAAACTGTGTAAGACAAGTACAAAGATCTGTGAGAATGATTCAGAGTAGATGATTTTCTTCAAAACAATTTCCATAATTCCAAGTGAATCTCTTAAAAGGACTGGAAGACAATCCCAGCCCCTACCACTTAGTTTGTAAATAGGAAGCACAGCCCTGGCTCAGAAAAGCCACAGAGGATCTAATCCCCTTGCAGAGCAAAACCTAACAGTTCTGACTTTATTTTCACACTGCCTTAACCATTATTGTTTTCAAAGCCAAACAGCTCTGTAGGTCAAAAGTCCATGGGGGTCTCAATGGACTAAAATCAATGTGTTAGCAGGACAGAGTTCCTTTCTGGAGGCTCTAGGGGAGTATCTGTTTATTTGCTTTTTTCCAGCTTCTAGAAGCTACATTTATTCCTTGGCTCATGGCCCCTTCCTCTATCTTCACAGCTAGCAACGTTTGGTAGAGCCCTCATGTCACATTTCTCTAACCTACTCTCTGTCTCCCTCTTCCATTTTTAAGGACTCATGTGACTGAGTTGGTCTACCCAGATAATCCAGGATAATCTCCCCATCTCAAATTCCATACCCTTAGTCACATCTGCAAAGTCCCCTCTGCCGTGTAAAATAACATATTCCCAGGTTCTGGGGATTAAGAAAGGGATATCTTTGAGGGGTCATTATTCTGCCTTCCAAAGGAGGCATGGAAAATGTTCCTGTTAAGGATGAAAATAAGTAGAGATGCTTAATTCTATACAGATAAAACAATAAGTACAGAATGATGACATTTTTCTGTAGAGCACCAAACTGCGTATGGTGGTTATCCCCAGGCAGAATTATGGATAATTTTTTCCTTTTTCTTTATGTTTCTCTGTTTTCCAAGTTTTCTACATTAACAATAAAATACTTTGGGTAAAAAAAAAAAAGAAACATATATTGTGGTTATTTAGGAGACTGTGTTCTTAGGTAAAGTATCATGATGTCACTATTTGATATGTCGTTCAGAAACACATATACACGCTGACAGATGGAGAAGAAAAACATGACAAAATGGTAACAACTTTGAATCAAGGTGGTGTATATGTGGGCGTTCACTGTAATTTATTTCAATTTTTCTGTACATTTGACAATGTTTTATAATAAAAATTGGGGGGAGATAGAAATTCTATATTGACTCGATATTATTCACCTCATCATTTCCAAGACTGACTTCAGAGTCTAAACAAGAGTGAGAAGATAAGTTACAAAATCAAGGTAAGTTTTCTTCTTCTGCTACTGTCTTTGCCATTGATCCTGAGTCATATGACTAGACTCCAGACAACGGGGAGATGGAGCTGTCTGGTTTTACTTAAAAAGGTCTCATTTCTATAAAGATACTTCTTCACTGTTAATAGCCCACTAACTTCTCCTATAGCATTTCATGAGCTGCGCTTGTCAACACAGCAAGCCCAGAGAAGGAGACTGGATTCTCAAAGCACTGTGCTCAAGGCAGGATGAGCCACACAATTTGAGAGGCCCAGAGCCAAATGAAAATGAGGGACACTTTGTTAAAAAATTATTAAGAATTTCAAGACAGCAGAGTCTTTCCAAGTATTGGGCCCTGTGTGACTGCACAGGTCATATGCCCATGAAGCCAGCCTTGCTCAAAGCATGGGAAAGACTCCACAAATGGTCTCTTCCCCATAGCCTTGTTTGCTGGGCATGCTTGGATGAGAGCTTGGTGGGAGTGGGGGTAGGGGAGTGGCTGACACTCTAGACTCATTTTACTGCATAGGACTCTTCACTCTCCTTCAATCTGTCTTCTTAGGGAAACTTAAGACCTAAGAGCCCTAAGAAATTGGTCAGTTCTCTAAAACATAGCCATTCAATAAGATGCTAATGTTGACCATTATCTATGACAGTGTGGTACAGTAGCAACAATGCATTTTTCTGGAACAAAAGCCTTAATGGAACTTATTAAAAGGCAACACAAATAATTATACTCAAAAATGATGACTCAAAATGCTGTAATTTTCCCAGAATAAAAAATACTCTTAAAATATTTTTTTAAAAAGCTACTAGATGAGCCAAACTACCACATATAAACAGAGTCTCAGATATTTTAATTGGTGACCAAGTTATTTAAAAACAAACCCAGATATACCAATAAAAATTCAGAAAGAAAATGCCTCATGTGGCTTTCTGACCCAGCCCTTTTATTCTTAAGCATTTCCTACATTCCAAGTAACATTCTTAAATTGATTATAAAAAGCAAGAGGATACTTCCAGTAATCAAAAGGAACTTATACGACAGTGACAAAAATAAACATCATTTCTCTTCTCCCCAACCCTAAAATATGGGCTTTTTGCTATTGATATAAATTATTTATCACTTTTAGGAATAAGACTCTTAGCTTTGACTTTCCCATTTCTAATAAATTACATGGTATTTTTAAAAGAGCATGCCTCATGTGACTTAGAAAAAATGTCTGAAAGGATACAGCTCACAGTAGTTAATAGCAGTTAGCTCTAGACTGGGAATTTTTGATGCGGCTGGGGAGGGCTTTACTTTTACCTTCCTTATTTCTGTTTATTTGAATATATACAATGCAATAAAAAATCAATACTGATATTAAAAAAAAGCAGCAGCATGTACTTTGGATCTAGCACGGTAATTTAAGATCAGTCACTTAATATCTTTGAGCCTCAGTTTCCCTACCCAAAAGACGGGGTTAATACTACTGCATTTAAATTGAGGTGTTGGTGGAGAATACTGAATGCACCATGAACTGCCAGGAGCCCAGTGGCACAGTGGTTAAGAGCTATGGCTGCTAACCAAAAGGTTGGCAGTTGGAATCCACCGGCTGCTCCTTGGAAACCCTATGGAGCAGCTGCACTCCGTTCTATAAGGTCGCTATGAGTCAGCATCGACTCCATGGCAATGGGTTTGGTTTTGGTTTTGTGGCCTGCCAGAAGAACAAACAAATCATTCTCAGAAGAAATACAGCCAGAATGCTCCTTAGGAGTGAGGATGGCAAGACTTCTGTTAGCTTACTTTGGACACACGTCATCAGGAAACACCAATTGCTAGAAAAGGACATCATTTTGGGAGAAGGTCAGCAAAAACGAGAAAAACCTTCAGTGAGATAGTTCAACACAATAGCCACAACAATGGGCTCAAACATATCAACACTCACGAAGATGGCACAGGACTGGGCAATGCTTCCTTTTGTTATACAGGTCACCATGAGTTGGAGCCTACTCACAGCAACTAACAACAACAATACTTACCACACAGAGATGTCATGAGAAAAATGTCTAACACACGGTAAATACACATTCCAAACCAAAGCTAAACCCATTGCTCTTGAGTTGATTCCGACTCATAACTACCCTGTAGGAGAGGGTAGAACTCCCCCATAGGGTTTCTAAGGCTGTAATCTTTAGGGAAGCAGGCTGCTACATCTTTCTCCTGCGGAGTGACTGGTGGGTTCGAACCTCCAACCTTTTGGTTAGCAGCCAGGCTCCTTAAATACACATTCAGTAAAGGTTAATTCTTTCTTTGAACCTCAGCTTCCTTGCCTGTAAAATTTGTAAAATTAGGAAGTTGGATTAACTATCCACAATCCTTTCTAGAGTTAATATTCTGATTCCCTCTCTTTAAAGCCATAGAAAAAGACTGCTAAATGAAAAATAAATGTCTTCACTTGTCTTCAGGTAATTATCTTGCTTTATTTCCTGAAGAACCAGGAAGCCAAAAATAGATGAGCAGTGCCTCTGGAATGGGTGGGCCACTCCACCCTGGGCACCTGGGAAATGACAGGGTATTTCCACTCATGAGGATCTCCCTGATGAGGAGAGTCTTCCTTAGTGGGAAGAGGATCAAACTTCAGTTTTAATAAGCCAGTGTTGTGCCATTAAAAATATTACACACTGTCAATTTTGATCTTTGAGTAATCCCAGCTTCCCCTTTAATTAGTTTTGCTTGCCTATATTTGCAATCTAGATAACTCTGCTTAAGTAGTTATACAAGTGTTCCTAATTCATTATATTCATTATATGTCACTGGTTAAAGTCCAGTGAGATCATTATCAATTGGGGGTGGGTGACATATTAAGAGAGCTTACAGAGTTGCCGCCTACACATCTGAAATGCTAATAATTGCTGGTCTTTCATGGTACTAAGATAATAATTTTAAAATTTCGTTTGCTTGTCTGAGACTGAAAAGTAGCCTGGATCACAGCGGCAGTAATATTCCTCAGTTTGTAAAAAAGGTAAAAAAATAAAATCAAAAGCGGGGGTAGAGAAAGTTACAACATTGGGAAATACGTACTGCCGTTCCAAAGGTCTTAATGTGACATTTTTTGTTTAATTAAAAATTTGTATGGATACAGAATCAGAGAGAGGGACACCCACAGGGCTTAGAATCCAAAATATCTCATGTATGAGATTTCTTAATTTAAGCCTTTTCGGAGCCTGCAGAATACCAGTGGGTGAGGAACGCCCTCAATGCCACTTTGGCATTTCCAGTAATCTGCAGAGCTTGGTGGGGTGTTTTACCCTACCAGGTCCCAGCAGTCTCAGCAGTAGAAAGTCCATTCTGTTATGTTCAGCATTAATTTTAAGACATACTGCAGAAACGAAACCAAAAAACCAAACCTGTTGCCGTGGAGTCGATTCTGACCAGATATAACAGAGGGGCTGAAAAATAAAGAGACATTTTGTTTATACATCTGTGATTAAGTTTCTCCATATACAAATTAGGTATAATACAAATGTATGTGGAAGACTGGGGAATTCTCACTATTAGCAATAATAATTAAAACTAACATTCAGTTAGTATCTACTTTTTGCCAAGCATCAGGATGGGTATTTTTCCTCGCACTATCTTATTTACTCCTAACGAGATTCTGTGAGGTATTTTGCGCTTTTTTCAGATGAGGAAACTGAGACTTAGTCACCATAGATAACAATGCTGGTAAATGGTGATGCCATGTCCGATTCTGAAAACTTGACTTTGATTACTCTATTCAGGCCTTCCTGAAGGAAGATGGAAATGTTCTTAAGTCTGTTGCATTGCTTATAAGTCTTTCAGCAGCTGAAACCACACTTCTGTCTGTCCCCACCCCTTCCTCACTTTACCTTGCCCCTTAAAAAAAACAAACAAACCAAACCTGTTGCCATCGAGTCGATTCCAACTCATAGCGACCCTAAAGGACAGAGCAGAACTGCCTCATAGAGTTTCCAAGGAGTGTCTGGTGGATTTGAACTGCCAATGTTTTAGTTAGCACCCATAGCACTTAACCACTACGCCACTGGGGTAGGCTTCAGTTACATAGACCTACTTGTAATTCCCTTAAGGTTCTGTTCTCTAAAGCCTCTGGGACTTTGCTGATATTTTCTTTGCCTACAATTTCTTTATGCCACTACTACGAGACTACCTGGCCTACTGCTACTTGTTTTTCAAGTCCCGATTTAAACAACTGTTCCTCCATGCTCCCATTACTCTTCATACTTTCCATTATAGCAACAATGTTATTGTGTCAACAACTAAATTATGAGCAACTCAAGGGAGGAATTTTTTTCTTCATTGCTGATTTACAGTGCCTTTCAAAGTGTCTGTCTCCCAAACCCATTGCCATTGAGTAGATTCTGACTCATAGTGACCCTATCTGTCTCCCAGCAGGCATTTAATTATTTATAGAATGAATGAATGAAAGAATGGATAACTGACTTATATATTCACGAACAGAACTCATTAGGGATTTGTAGAGTCCTATCTTATTTTATTCCATACAAGGGTAAAAGTTACCAGAAAACTTTTCATCCTCTTAAGTTAAAGCTTTACAATGTATCTTTATTATCTACAGAATAAAGTTCCCAGAACACAGTAGTAGTTCAATACATATTTGTTGAATTGATGAATATTCCTTAGAAAAAAATATAAGGTCTTTATAACCTAATGCCTATTTTTCTCTCCAGAATTGCTTTGTAGCACTCTTACCTTATCCTCTAATAATGAGTAACAGTATGTCATTTTCATTCGTGCATCAAATATTTATTGAGTCACTACTGTATGCCAGGCACATTGGTGCACTGTTTCAAACAGACTTTTTCCTTTTTTTGCTGTTCCATCTTCCTGAAGATGTTATGAATCCATTCCGCAAATACCGTATTTATTGTGGTTTTCCTACGCTCCTTTAGTTGTTACCTCCTCCAGAAGCACCTCCCTAATCCCTGTAGCATCCAGCGCTTGCCTCTATTTTAGCCCTGATTACATCAAAGTGAATTTTATCTGTACCTGTGTTTATCACCACCGCCCCTACTCCTATCCCACAATACCGGCTGTAATCTCCAAGGGCGGGGTAGCGGTTTTGTTCACCTGTGTGTACCCAGGGTCCAGCACAGAACCTAGGACAGGACCAAAACCCTGTCTATAAGTATTGGAATAAGTAATAGTCACTCTTTATTGAGCAACATGGATTATCACCTAGAATTCTTGGAACAGTTAAGTATTATTATCTTCACGTTATAGATAAGAAAACGAGGCTCGGAGGGGTTTAGAAATTTGCCCAGGATCATACAGTGGCGGAGCCTGTCATCACAGGAATCTAAAGAATGAAGCCACCATTGATTCGAAAAGAACTAAGACTCTTTCCCTCCATATTTTCTTGAAATTTTACTTTAGATTTTGCAAAGTCATTCCTTCTTTAGACCAATGGCTCCTCATTTACCTTAATATTGTGAGCGGAGCAATATTCCTTTTTTTCATATTAGAAATTGTTCGACCTTTCTCAGGAAGCAACGTGATTTTAAACTTTCTGAAGTCTACTTCTTGGGGGTAGAATCCGCCGGAGTCCAAGGGGACATAATAGGCCCAGTGCTAAAAAAACAAAAACAAAAACAAAAAAACCAGGCATTCAAACTAGAGTGCAGGAACTAAAGGAACAGTTTTTCTGAAGGCGAGGAATTTACCTGAGGAAGGGCAGCCCTTCTGATCTTAAGTGCACAAATTCTGAGACTTGTGGGAGTTCGGCTGTTCACACATAAGGCGACCGGTGGGGGAGGAGGAGACTATATTGCCCATAGCTAAGATGGCTGCTCATGAACGTCTCTTTTAGATGAATCTGTTCTCTTTCATCATTGGTATTTTCAACAGAGCTATAGTAAGTAAAATTTAGTAGAAGTTGGTCCTTTCTTACGAAGAAGGTAAAAGAGAACGTTAGCAGGTTTTGTTTAAGAAATCTTCACCCCACAAATTCTTCCTTGCCCTTAACCAAAATGGTCGTCCAGGTTGTCGCGTGGTTTGAAGCTTGAAGCCCTTAACTAAGATGGCGTCCAGGCGGCGCGTTAAAAACAGCTTGCCCTCTCTTTGCCCTCGACCAACATGGCTACCGCGGCGCCGTTCACGTGACGTCCCCGGACTACGGCGCGGGAGAGGGGGTAGGAGGGCCCTTGAAGGGTGCGCGCTCCCGCAGTGGTGCACCGGGTAGGTTTCAGTCAGAGTCACTATGGCGGTCGGCGCTGGCAAGGTAAGCTGAGGCGGCGGCGGCGGCGGCGGCGGCGGAGGCAGGATCCGTCGTGGCGTCCGGGTTCCGAACCCCCGTTGCCGGTCCGCGGAAAGGCCGGCCGAGGTCGTGGCCAGCCGTGGGGGCTGGCGTGAGGCGGGCTGAGGGGGGCGAGGGCTGAGGCGGGCGGGCACCGGCGCCTGACGGCCGTTTGTTTTGATATTTCCTCCACCAGGTCGGAAAGTTTCCTGCCTCGTCAGGCACAGCCTGAGCGTGCCCGGCGGGCCGCGAGTGCTGGAGGTTGCGGCGGACTCATCCTGGGGCCTCCAGGCCTCTCCCCCAACCCCAGGGCCAGCCTCCCTCCCCCACCTCCTCGTCCGCTGGGAGCTGCGGCTGTCGTCCCTGAGATGCGACCCTCGCGGGGGCGACCCTGAGGGGAGGCGGCCCGTGTGCTGAGCAGCGACCAGGAGTCCAGACCTCCCAGGACCAACTTCCCGCCGGCTGGGACCCCCTTGTTTCCCGGGGTCGCGGGGTTGCGCCTCTCTCGGTCAGCCCTGCCTGCGGAGCCGGATCCCGGCCCTGGTCGCGGGGACTCCCGCCAGGCGCCGGGGAACCCCGGCCCGACCACTGCCCGCGCCCCCGCCGGTTCCCGCGCCTGGTTCTCCCACCGCCGCCGCCTCGGCTCGTGCCAGGCCGGGGACCCCGCGCCCCCTCCCGGGGCGGCCACCGCGGAGCAGGGCAATGCAGACGGTCCCGCTGGCCGCTTAGACCGTCTCATCGCCCCCTCACTTCTCCACCCGCGAGGTCCTAGAGAACGGGTAGTGGCTGCCCAAAGGTGCTCGGCTGCACCTTCCTTCGGCCCGAAGGGACCTTCCTGGCCGCACGGAACCGACACTTCCTTCATGCTGCAGTGCTGCACTGTTTCCGCCTGCGAGGGGGAAAAGCTGCCGCGATCCCAAACAAAACACAAGAATTGGTGTGTGACTCATCTGCTTGGATACCTCCAGTCCCCAAACTGTCTTCCAGGAGTTTTCTTGGCCGAAGCTGTCCGATGTTTGAGCCATTTTTTCCCAGGCAAGAAGGTGGACTGAAAGCTGCCAGTTGGGGACTTTTTGTGATCACGGTGCTGCTGAGTGTTAAAGGAGGTGATGGGGCTTGTGCTGGCTTGTCTCCCCACCCAAGTGAAGAGTTGTTGATGCTCACTGGTTATGCTTAGACAATGCGCAGTTTGCTTTAATTTAAAATTTTTGGGGCAGGGGGATAGGGGTAGGAGGCTTGTGAAGGGCAGTCCAGATCCGGAGGAACTCCTCTTTGTCCCTGGTAGGAGAGATACCCAGTCTGTCCTCGATGCCGTCAGCCTTGGCCATCTTCACTTGCCGCCCGAACTCACATCCGTTTCAGGAGCGTCATGTCTACCTGGACGAGCCCATCAAAATCGGCCGCTCGGTGGCCCGCTGTCGACCAGCGCAGAATAATGCCACCTTTGACTGCAAAGTGCTGTCAAGGAACCACGCTCTCGTCTGGTTTGATCACAAGACGGGCAAGGTAATGTCACCACGTTGTCCAACACTCTTTACTTTTCGCACCCCTTTTCTGCGAGAGGCATAACGTGTGTAGAATCCCAGGGTTTGCACCCAGAGGACTTTCAGCAAGAGCACAGAATCTACCTTTTGGTGTGCCTGGTTCTAGTGGAAATTTAATTGAGGTGGTTGAATGGGAAACAGAGAAGGTATTGTAATTAAATGCCTCGTAGGGCGATGGCATCTTGATAACATGGTCATTCCCAGTGAAATCCCAAACCCTAATTCGTTTCCGAAAACTAGATAGTGAAACTTGGCATCTCGCTTTCGGTCTTTTTAGAAAGGTGAATTTGCAGTTCAGTGCTTTATTAAGCAAGCAGCAGTTCCCAGAGCAATGCGAGGCATCAACGGCCAGTGTTTCTCAGGAGCTCAGGTGTCTCAGTGGTGAGCCTCCGGAACACATAGCTTTCAGTTGAGTTCTGATTAGGGCGTTTTTAGCAAGGGCGATTGCCTGTGTTAACAAACTTACTGTTGAGAAAGACTTGATACATTTTTACCCGTGACAGAGTAATTTGCAATAATCAAAGCTTATTTAATTAAATATGAAGAACTGTAACTTTACATTTTCAGAGTTTTTACAAGTTGGGCAAACCTATGTGCAGATTGCTTTTGCAAATCACTTTTTGATGTTCCCCGCAGAACTGTTACTTAAAAATACTTCATGCATACTTTCAGAAGTGATGTTTAAAAGTCAGTGTTAGGAAATTAACTTCTTTATTTTCTGAAATTATCTGCTATTCTATCAATTATTGCAATCTTTAGTTGTGATAAGATAAATTCTGTGCTCTTCATTTTAAGTGTAACCATTTTAGCATTTTATGTTAGCTCCTTAATTTGTTATACATATGTTTTTTAAGAATACGAAAAAAAGATTATGTAAGACTTTCAGTTTTTAAAACTCTTGATGTGTGTGGAGAGTATTAAAGAGCTCAATCTCGTGCTTAAATTTGATGTTTTAGATGAACTCCTGACTCAGTTCCAATTTAAAGTAAGTTATGTAAGATTAATAGAAATATCTCGGGTTTCACCTCCTGACTTTCTGAGCTAAATAATTAAGTTTTTCTTAAAAGAAGAACTTAAATCTTCAAGAGTAGTGTTTTGAAATGAAGAAAAAAAAAAAAAACCTGAGCCTCAAAGGGAAGAGAGAAAACACACTTCTGCAGTTATTGAATTTTGGAGTTATTATATAAATTATTTTTAAAGAAAGGAGAGAAAGACTGCCAAAGTGCTATGTGTTTGCATAATATCTGAACCCTACTCTGTGTGTAGGGTAAGAACTGAAAAGTATGTTCATTTTTCTGTATAACACCAGATACTCATTTACCTGTGGAACAGACCCTTTTTTCTCCCTGAAAGCTAAAATTTGGGCGCCTTAGAGACTTTGTAGATTACTCATAATACTTTAAAGTGAATATTCGTAGAGTTCATTTTTCCAGCAATCTAATTCAAAGATCAGTTAACTACTAGTGCCTTAACTAGCTTTTACTTTTTTGTCTTTTTGTTTACCTGGGCCACTGTTAAGGTTTAACCTAATCAGAAAGCAGGTTTGCTCACAGTACATTCTTGCAAAAATACTTTCTTTTTTTCTTTACTTTGATCCAGACTCAAAGGAGACTCAGATTTTTTCTTTTACTTATTTGAGAAATAGTGATTACATGAACAGTGTACTAAAGCCCTCAAAATAGCTTATTTTGAGATGATTAAGAATATATGAATAGTGAATGTTTAGCGTGCAAATTGAGATGACACGTTAAAATTTTGAACGAAATTTGTTATTAGAAGAACTTATATTTAAAGGATACATTTGGTTTATTTCTATCATTTTCACTTTATTAGCTACACTATGCTCAGAATCCAAGGCTGTTACTTTAGGTATGCATATAATTATTGGTTATCGTATCACCCAGTCTCATGAAAACAAATGATCAGTCAGTTCTTACCATGTGATCAAATTCTTCTAGGAATTAACTATTTAAAATTTAGGTTTCATCAGACAATAGATTTTTATTGGCCATCTAGTATGTGCCAGATGCTGTGAGGTACAGAGTTCCAAAGAAGACAGTTTGATGAGATATCATTTATTGTTTTCTCTGTGTGAAATTTCCAGTTTGAGGATTTCTGCTGCAGTTGTCTCATAACAAAAGATTACATTAAAAGTCTCTGGGCCTGATATATATTCCCAGCAAATTTGTTTATTTAACGGAAAAATATTTCCTTTTATAAGCATCACTGCAGGCAATTTTTTTTTTTAACGTCTCTAAGCTTAGTTTTCCCGTCTGGTGACAAACATACTATTGTTTTGAGATTGAGATAATCAATTACTTAGCACCCTGTACCTGGCCCTTATTAAAGGCCCAGTACTTGGAGGGAGGGGAAGTCATCTAGGCAGCTCTTTGCAGTTTGCTATAATGCTCTTCAGTCTTAGGAAGGTAATGAGAAATTATTTGTGCACGTGTGATGGTATATGAAGAAGTAATTTTTAAATTGCAAACAAATGAAGTTGAGAACTTTGTCCAGATTGGCACTTTTGGACAGTGGAAAGTGGAAAGTTGGGAAGTGGAAAATTAGAGTAATAAGCTTTTTGGTTGACTTTCATTTGTGGGTGACCGTTGCATTCCATATTGGTCATCATGGGAGGCTCATTAAAAGCTGGAAAAAATAATAAACCCTTGAAACTTTCTGATTATCCAAGTAATACATGTTCATTGTAGAAAATTTACAAAATGTACAGAAGCAGATGAAAATCTAGGTGACATTTTTTAATGTTAAGTTCATGGAATGTGTTATGATATTTAAACCTGCATTTTGGAGCGTGGTAGGTTTGCCACAAAGCAGAGTAGAATACTCTTTCCCAAATCATCTTCTCAGGGATATAGCAGTTGATTTTTGCTCTGCTTCGATGCTACCCCTGTCATCTTTCACTCCCTTTTGGAGGCCAAGCACTTCAAATTAGATGGTAGATAATATTAATGAAATAATTATTAATCCTTCTATTGACTTGCGGTATCACTGAACAGCAGTTTAGATGTGATGTAACTGATGTGAACAAGCAAATCTACCCATAGGGTGGTTACATAGAAGGATAGTGAGTGGACTGCCCCCTTGTGATTTGGATGGCAATATTCGATTTGAGGCTTCGGGGACAGGTGACAAGTTAGTGGTTGAAATGGTAGTCTACTTCCAGTCTCACTTTATAT